CATTTCCTTCAAAACAGCTCGATCAAGGATGAAAAAAGACCCATTGATTTTGGTGAATACTGAGCAAATTGAGCTTGTCACAACTACAACATTTCTTGGTCTAACAATAGATAATAACTTGGATTGGAATAAGCATGTAGACAACATTTGAAGTAAAATAAATTTTGGCAGGTACGCACTAAGAAGAATGGGATGGATGTGCAGTGAATCCACTCTTAAAATTATTTACCATTCACATATTTCATTTGGTCTGTATGGCTCATGTAAATTAGAAAATCTAGAATGTGGTCCTTATTTATAGATTAATTTCAATATATTTTTTATCTTATATTTTTGAGAGACTAAAATGGTTTAGCAATCTCAAAATCAAAAGATATTACGAGAGAAATTCACGTCTAGCTCAGATTTCCTTGTACAATGGTTCCTGGAACACTACCAAGCCGACCGTCTGACACCTCATTGTTTACTGTAGTAATTAATGGAAGAATTAAATTCCACTGTACCTTAGGAAACTATTTTTGAAGCAGTTTTAATTACTGAATTTGAATTACAAAAATTTGGTTTGGAAATAAAGTATACTAGTGTACCTGAATTCGAGCAATTGCAAAGGATTACATGCGTTATTTAAAAACGAATAACAGCAATAATTTTCGATGACTTTAAATATTTGACTCAAAGATTTTGGCAATTCTCACGTTGTACATAACAGATCGATATAATCAAAATTTCTTGTAAAGATCTCATCATTTTTCTGAAGCTGATCTTGCTTTTTAGTGTTTTCTACAAATAGCTTTACTCATAGCCGCATTAGGTTGTCCATAATAACGATTATAAATTCTAAAAAAAATATTTCTTACACTTGGCAGTATTCTATGACTTTCCTATGTTTCCACAGTTTGCAAATCGACTATTTCAATGATTGCTAAAGAAATGCAGCACAGTGTTAATTCAGTTTTCTTTTTAGTATATCAAATTATCCAGGCTTTCTCACTATAGTGCAAACCTCAATTTCAATAAATTCAAAATAAATATAAAAATAAATATTTTGCAAAATTCTAACAGTAATATTTTTTCAACCGAGTCAGTAAATGTGTGTAGCTTACGTTTCCTTGAATTGCAACTAATATATTAACAACAATTAAACTATCCAGCTGATCATAATGTAAACAAATATGTTCTTCATAAGGATAACATTGAAACTTTAAAAGCCACTATGGTAAAGCCCAAGGGTCTTTTTCAAAGACGTAAGGTCAGTTTGCAAATCTACACACCTAGACGTACATTTTGGTAATATTTGGGGTCAAATCTAAAAAAAAAACCTTATTGTTCACAAAGTGTCATGTAGCGTATTAATGATATAGATTGTTTTACTTCACAACTGATGTATACACTAATTTTGCTTGAGAATTATCTAAAATATTTTTATCTCCTTTTGAAACTAACTTCAAAACCAATTTTTAATTCTTTTACAATAATGTTTTTCACGACTCAGAAATTATAAACATCCATATAGACTGTCTGGGTAGCCGAGTGGTTATAGCGTTCGCCTAAAAATCAAAAGGTCATCAGTTCGATCCAGAGAAAAGTCAGTGGCTTTTTGATTGTTCGAAATTGGACCCAGCTGTTACTGATCATTGGACTTTTAATTAATGGTCGTGGCGATGAAATAGCTGATCTTAGTCAGTAATAAAGCTACCCAGATAATATCAGACCATTGAACACTCATCTTTTACTCATATTTGGGTTAAAATTCGCACCCAGGGTTGGTAAATGATCCATCAAACGAAAATATAAAGAACATTATTTACGTCAAATGTTAGAGTTTATCAGTTCTTTTAGCTCTAGTCCTACGAACAACTAGATAACTAGAACTACTATGCATAATAATTCATGTATTTGATATACTCTCTTTGATGATTGTAACATTCGCAATTTTATTGCTACCTTCAAATACAGAGCTTGGCCCCCTCATGTAAATCAAGAATTTATTCAGCTGTAGTGCTAGCTTACAGTCTGCTTGAAACCTATCTTGCAGGAGTGTTCACATTTTGCCTACTGTACATATTGTACATTTTAAAGTTGCTATATATAATACGAGGTGTTAGCCCGTCCTACGTACGGGAATTCAGTAGTCAGTTAAAACCGTGTACAATTCAGATCAGCTAGTTTACACATATAAAGACAAAGTTTATTGCAGTTTTAATGTGAAAAATCATCTTGTAAACAAATGTTGTGTCACGAAATATATTTTTATTCCATCATAGGCCTATACTATATGCATTTTAAATCCGCTAATTTTACAATAAAACAGCAATTCTGCAATTTTTACGATGTGAAAAGCGTTTAAGTGAGATTTGCAGCCGATTCGCACAGACGCACACTGATTATAAGTAGCCTACAGTAGAGAGAGTAATTGTCAATTGAGAAGTGTATAGACCTAGTCAACGATACCACCTTCCATAGCATACCTGCCTCTTCCATAATTATTATCACCACAATACAACTACTATACACAATTTCCAGTAGGTCTGAATAGAAACGACCTAAAATAAAACGATAGTATCCAATAAAATTCACAGTACACATAATTTAACTTTTGGTGTCCTAACATAAAAACTAATCGTCACACCTATACTTTATATCAATTTCACTGCATTTATTGTTAAATAAATAAGCGTAAACAAAGAAAAGTAAAAACACACATGTAGCACACACACATGTCACATGTAGCAGGAATATAAAAAGTAAACACGCTAGTAAAGCTAATGACGTAATTGTCAATGTTTATTATCCATACCGTTATCAGTTCTATCCTTGATAATTAGCCACCCTCATTGAATAAATGTACATCGTACTTTCCCATATTAGTTAATTTAAACTACAATATATACATAGTTGAATCCACAACTGAACACGATTTCATAAAAGGATGGTTTGTCTAATTGCAGTATCCTAGGTCAATGTTGACGTTGTGTTCAATCTATGTCATCCATCTGTTTATCTTTGTATAAAACCCGGCTGAGGTTGTGGTGGTAATTTTTAAAATCGTGATTCCTGATTATTCTTGATCTTCTTTTTATGACATCAATATTACCGGGCCTAATCCAAACAAAGTTAAAGCAGACAAAGATTAATTATTGTAAACAAAAAAGCTACCATGAAGAATTAAAAGATGTAAACATTGTTATTTTTCTAATCTTTCCTTGAAAAGTGGAGCAGTAAAATAATTTGCATCTATCCTTTTTTATTAAGACTCGTGTACAGAGCCTCGATTTGTACTGTGGTTTAATTAATTTTGGTTAAAACTGTGGTTTAAACTGTGGTCTAATTAATTATCTCTACTAATCTTACTTATTTCCTATAATCAATGACAAAAATAAAATAACCTCATAGTTCCATAGTTTATATTTAACCAGCTGTTAGTTAAAACAAATTATATTGCTCTAAAACAAATCGAAGATTACAAAGATTGCTTTAAAAAATAATTTGAACATCCTATTATTTTACTATGTATATTTAATTAATCTGTCATCCTCTTACAGAAGAATTGAACTATCAATGATTAGCATTACACATAGTATAAATAAGTCAACCCTAAGTATGTCTTTACATTTTTATCCAAATGCTGAATTTGTGACACAAAAGCTGAATGTTTACAGCTGTTATGTTAAGCAAATTATTTTATGCCAAAAGCTAGTTTAGAATCTTAGCGTCGGCTGCTAGACTTTTTAAAAATTAAAACTTAATTTCTAAAAATCTGGGGCCCTAAACTAAAATTATGGCTTCGACATTCCCTAGTTCTCAAAATTATCTTACTTTCAACACAAAAATCATGAAAATCCGTCGAGTGGTTGATTCAGAATCGTGAAATAAAAAAACACTGTTTCGTTTTAATATTATAGATAATCATTTGTTTGTTGTAATTGAAGACATATATTTGAAGAATATTTGCATCAAAATAATCATAATAAATATTTGTGTAATAATATTAATTTTTTATTATGATTGTAAATAAATGCTAAAAGTTGTTTTAACCTGCGAAGTTATATTGGATATTTTTGTGTTGGTTCTATAGTGTTAATCTGATCGGGGTTAATTAATTTCGGATAGAATGGTACTTCTCAAATAATTAATTCTGTTTGGTATTGACAACAAAATTTAGTAGAATAGAGAGTAACTTTTTGTCGCTTATTTTATAAGTAAGACAGCCAAAAATGCTAAATTTGTCCTTAAGAGTCCTTGGATACTAGCAGCCATCTTGGATAATATCAAACAGCCGCTGAAAAGTTATTTACCACCTCAAAATATTTTTTTTAACACCAGAGTGATTGTTATTTTATATACTGTGAGATTAGAAAATTTCTTTGTAGCTCTTTAATTGTTTTACGAGTTAAAACGTTTAGGCTCAATGACTCTTAATTAAAATACTCCAATTTAAAGTAGACTTTTAATGGTTTATTATGTACTGATATGAATTACTATTACTATTTTAATTATTGTCCAATATCTCAAAATATTATCCGTTTGCCATATTGTTTTGTGTTCACTGTGTTGCAGTTATTATCATTGCTGTAATCAAACTTATTTTTCCCTTTGTAATTAATGTTTAAAAAATTATGTTTGTCCCTTTTGTATTTAGTAACTGCATATCAGAAAACACATTTTTACTTGAAACAAGTATTTAAAGTATACAATTTTGAATCCAAAAATCATTAAATAGGCTAAATTATAATAGTAATTACAATTATCATTATAATTTAATCCCATAATATATTAATATATTAATTCATTTATACATTAATACAATTAATATAAAGTATTTAAAGTTCGGTAAATAGTATAACCGTTGACCAGTTCAATTCATCTTGAATCATCCAGGAAATCAATGGTGTTTAGATACATACGTTTCTTTCACACGTACCTCATAAAACGTTAAGAAATGATGTAAAATCAGGAAAACAGTACAATAAGTATTCAATAACTTTATTTCAAAACCTTCGTTATGCTTTTTGTTTTATTCGTTGGTTAATTACGGACAAGTGATATTTTGAGGTTTCTCAGTGAAATACATGTGCATACTGATCCCTCCACATTTCTCTATAGCAGGAGCCAAACACTCCGGGGGGGTTGTGAACGTAATCTGTAAACAGTAAATAATTATTAGATCTGAGAAATTACTAAACTACTCGTATTTACAATGTTGATTGATGTATAAGACCAACATATTGAACTACTCATAACAATCCACGTCATCACGTTGTCCTCCAGGAATCGTAAATATTAAAGAAAATGACATGAAGGATTATTTTTTTCAAACAAGATATGCAAGGGTTTTTTTATTTAGAGCCTTTATTACTTGTTTAAAAATCTCTTCAACTAAAAATATTTCATTGTAGATGTTAGCCTCCAGATTGTCAAATAATATAAAAAAGTTCAAATACTCTCAGGCTAGGTTTAACAGGTTCCCGGACTAAGAACTAGGTTCTTAACAGTGACGAGAAAATACTTTTTTACAAAAAAATCAAATACCGCTATTACGCAATCCAATCCCCTTGCAAAACAAGTAGTTCCGGCTTCTATGTGAAGCTATCATCAGGTGGTACGTTTTTCGTTCTTCATTTCGTCACACGAAGAGCGTCATATTATTTAACACGAAAATAAATAAACATTTAAACACGAAACAATCACTAATACGAAACGTTAATTAATTGTAACTGTTCTGTTAAGAAAACAGATTACGCTAACCTGACAGAGTTTGAGTCCAAAATAATTAGTTTGTCGAAAATAGTTGTGTTTGCATTTTTTGTCACTGTTAACAACCTAGTTTCTTAGTTCGGGAACCTGTTAAACCTAGCCTGAGAGTTGTTAAACATAAGCAAATGGTGAGGTTAAAACGATAAAAAACATACTGAAATGTAGTACTTAGTAAAACTAGCAAAAAATTGTCTACAAGCAGTAGGGGAGAAAGTCCTAAGTCTGATGATCGTTTTAATACGATGCAAAAACATCGTAACATCGTAGCATCGTAAACATCTTAAAAATCGTAAAAGTCGTAAACATCGTAAACATTATATGTTGTTCGTTTAACACTATTAAACAAAATTACTCAAATGCATTTATCAGCAATCAGGAATACATATTACTTTACACAAACGAAAATATTTGAACACAAATGGACAAAAGAACCAGCGGACACGGATAAAAGTGTAAGGTTGTTCAAAATTCCATCAATATGTGAAAATATTCATAATCCAAGAGCAACGTGTGGACAGATATTTGTTTGTAATTGTATTATTACTGCACATTTACAAAGTTGTCAGAATATTTAAAAATATTACACAAAAACGGTATATTTTAGACCTACTCAACACAATACCTACAATTCTACAGTACAATACTTACTTTTATAAACCCTGGAGGAATGTTTTCGTACCAATCCCGCTTGTATTCAGATACAGATCCCATGCCAAACATACCCATACCAATCAGCCATCTTTTATGGTACAAGGCGAAAAATGGTTTCGCGTCTGCACAATTGGTATTCTTGCCAATGAAGAAGTAGTGTTGACCTAAAAAAGTAAATATTTTGCTGAAAAAAGTGTCACAGAAAAAACATCTACGTATGTAACTGAGTTTCTTTCAAAATTATGAATAATTTCAATCAGACGGAATAAGTTTGTGCAATTACTGGATTATTGGAGTACAGAACTGACTTTTTTATCTACTTTGTTGTTAATAATTCAGAAATACCTTATAGGCATATTAAATGCTTTTATTTTATTTTATTTTTTTTTCTTATTTTCTTAAGAGGTTGGCGGCCTCTCTTAACCTTGCATTTTGCACACATAGACTACAGTTGTCTACGTAGACTACAGATCTGTGCGTGGAACGTATCCAGCAATGCAAGGGGTGACCCGGTACAGTACGAATGTGAACTGTACTGATACATTTTAGTGGCAGTGACCAGGATCCAAACCCACAACATCGCTGCCTTGGGCCCGAAGTCCGTGACGCTACCAACTGTGCCACCGACTCACCATATTGACGTTTAAAAGAAAATAATTAGATTAATATATACTGTTTATGTAAAGATTTGTTTTTGAATTCGTACTTGAAGAAATTCCTTGTAATGCAATATAAGGGAAGTATTTAATACTTTTACATTATATCCACACGTACTTTACATTGCATTCAATTTATGGAAACTATGGATATCTCTAGAGTATTGTATACTATATTTGTTCAAACCGTAGACTGGTTCTACAGTAAAGTTATTTACTAGTGCCTGCACTATCAAACAATTTAGTTACTGTACATAACATGATGCATACTTTAAAGGACAAACATCTTTACCCATTTGTGGATAACAAGCTTGTTTTACCATCCCAGGAATGTTCAGGATGTTTTCCTCCTTTTTGGGAATCTCTGTCCATGTCTTTCCATCAAGTTTAACATGTAAACTGTCTCCTAACGGTGCTGTGCGAGTTGTAGGGCCTCCAGCCAGAAGACATGCTGTCAGAAATACAAAATTAAATCAGATTTGTATTGTTTTATCATTGCTTTTGGGACCACTCCTAATAAACTTATTTGTAGTATTTTATATCGTGTGTTAAAAATAAATTTGAAATCAGTAGCATGTAAAATTACCAGAAAAAACCTTAAATAAGAGAATTACCATTGAAATTGACCTTACTGTAAGTCTAAAATCTTGATTATCTTTGAGGATACCTTATAATTATACAAGTTACTTAAACGTTTCACAAATAATACACTTTGATGAAAAAAATGTATTTATTAAAGTTCCTCAAGATTTTTTTCTACTTATTTGGTATAAATTCGTAAGAATGAAAAAAAGTGTATTTTAGTTCAAAGTTACAGTTTACAACAGTATTTATTCATTTTTTAAATGTCTGTCCCGAAAATGCACAAAGTAGCATGAATTACCGAAATCTAGTCTTGTGAAAGTCAGTTCCGCCCTTATATTTATTTAAAAATTAATAAGCTTTACTGAGTTTGTTTGTGTTTTTCATTTACTTGGCATTTATGTTGTTACTTTGAGTAATCAATGGCTATAAATTTGCAGGCTCTATACGTTTAATACTAAGAATAATACAGCATAGTAAAAAACTCAAAAAATTTTATCATTTATCTGAAAAATATTATTAGTATACGATGAATTCGAGTAGTTTCACGGGTAATTGAACAAATAATTTAACATAATGTTCAAAATATTGTGTGTTTCAAAGTTTGTTGTTAATATGATGACTCGACATTAAACACAGTGCAATGGTACACACACACATCTGTATGATTACTACATAATCACCTGGGGTAGAAAAGATGCAATCTACATGGTAGTAGTCGATGTCTCCGAAAATCCATCCTTTTTTGAACATCGCTATAGTTTCGTAGTGATAATATGAATCAATTTCACATTTATCGCTCAGTGTGCCGATTACGTACTAAAAATAAGATAAATTTAACAATTAAAATGTTAAATAGATTGTTTCTTTGAAATAACACAAATAAAACTGTTTCTTTGCACTTCCATTGAGTCTGACACAATCCTTATATTCACTCAATCAACTCTTAAATAAATTATTAGGTCTGTTCAAATTTTAAGTTCAAATTTATTTATATTTCACCAAATTAATTTTTAAATACGTCATTAGCATACAAATGTGTATATTACAACGAAATATACAGAATGTGGCTACAGTTGTTGGTTAGGAGTTATTTACTATAAAAACACGACGTTTTAGAAGTACAATATGAAATCAGGCATAAGATTACACGAAGTTGTAACAAAATAAATCAATATAATAATTTTGTTTAATATTTTTAACAAAAGGTTTAGTTTTTTCGTCACATGATTCTGTCCAACAATTGAGTCTGCTCCAATGTAAAGATTGATGTAAAATCTCTGAAATTTCGAATTTCTAGTGTGCCTGGCACATTCTCAATTCAATGAATTCTAAAAAAAACTTTTAAGTAGTACACATTTTAATTTCTTCCGACGACAATTCTGGCCGTTATTGAAGTAGCCGCACAAACGGGCGGAATTGCTGAAAACTCCTAATGTAACAAAATCGACTAAAACGGGTTTATCACTTTCAACGACAATCTGTGTATTGTTTCATTTACATAATGTGTTAAAATATGGATTAATTACAGTACTTACCCCTGCTCTGAACCCACATAGTTTACCATATGTGTCGTACATTGGACATCCTCTTGGATCATTGTGTAGACAATAAATATCAATCTTACTAAAGTCCTCATGGGTGGCTGCTTTCACATAGCCTTCTTCTTCTGCTTGGTCCACGGTCATAGGTATACCATATTTACCAACTTCCGGTGGTTCAAATTTAACTGAAATGAAAATAAAAACACACATTTTCAGAATGAACATTATATATAGATCCGCAGATCGTCACTTCTCATCCTATGTCTATGGATTTTGCTGTACAAGGCTTATACAATTTTATCTAAAACCATCTGATTTTTTGCAATCCCAAATCTAAGTCTCTCAATAACAGTTAAAAATATTCACAGAGTTATATTTTTTTCCGTCCTATGGAACATTAATTGTGTAAACTTATTCCACTTACTAAACGTGGATAAGCATTGATATAATAAAGATGGTCATATTTTGGCATTGGACGCTAGGCATTAACATGGGATTGTTTTTACACATTAATTTATACTGGTCCTAGGGGTTGCGGCATTACCACTTGGGAAAAATCCATTTAGTGATGAGTTAGGGTTTGAACCCGGGACCTCAGAAACCAAAGTCTCGCGTTCTAACCACTTGACCAGCTCTCTCCCCCATGAAAATGGTCATGAGATAAAAATTTACTAGGTAACTAGGTACTAAAAATAAGACCTCCTTAAAACTGATACATTGTTTGATATTATTCTTCTACATATTAAACCTACGACATAAAGCTACAATATGAAGTGACTACTGTATTTAAGTAAAGAAAAATGTACAAAGTAGTTTGTGTTAATGTAACTGTTGATGCAATGAGTTCATAAAATTAACATCATCCATATAAATGCTGAAAGGAACGTAAATTATTGTTACAGGATCACCACAATGGAATAAGATATATCTTAATGAAATAACCTCTGTTCGTAAAACCTTCAGACATTTTTCCCGAAAGTGTTCCGATTAGCTATGTAAGAATATTATGAACCTTTACAATACGGTAAAGTAATTAAATAATTTACGAAAATTATAAACTAAATTATAAATTCGAATATACGATTAAAATGTCTGTAAAAAAGGTTAACATGCATTACCTAAAAACGTATATTAGTTTAAAACGTTTGTTAATAACGATTCGTGTAAGTCAGAACTATAATTAATTGTTGTAAATAATTGTTAATTTTACTAAAACCTTTGGTTACAGTAATTTAAATCCTGGAACATAAAAAAAAACGTTTAAACTATTGAGTGTAGCTTTTAAATTAGAATTCAAAACTTACCTCTTAAATTTGTCCAGGTGTAGTCTCCTGCGAATACTGAAACCCAATATACAATGTAAGTAACAAATACAGTATATTGAGTGCTTACATAATACTTTAATAATACTACTTTAATACTTTATTTCTTATTAAATGGCGACCATACAAAGTAGGTATTTTAAGCCAAGTATGAAAAGAGATTAGTGTAGGATGAGTGGCGCGATCTTGTGGTCTTGTTAGTGACTAAGGCCTACATATTCCTTAGACACAGCTGTTAATTAATAGCCCATACAGATAATGACAACTAAGGGACCAACAGTTTATAGTAGAATCCGAACCACATTGCCTTGGTATATACGAATTGGTCTTATTAGGATAGTACTGTGGATGGTCGTAGTATTTACTCGTGCAGACGTTAATCCACACAAGGGAGTATTGCATCCACAGTACATGACTATAAATATCCACAATTCGTGACCTAGTAGCTGGATTACAGGACACGGCGTACCCGTCCAGTAATGTTGAGTGCTTACATAATACTTAAAATTAAAATTTCACTTGGTTATTGACTGTAACTGAAATACTCAGTCAAAAACATTGAATGTAATAACAACAAAATTTATTAATAAATAGTTATATATTACTCAACTCAATATCATGCAGTTATAGTAATCACAATAAAAATATTTGCATTAATTGTTTAAAAACTAAAATAATATAACTGCCTATGTTAAAAACCCATGTTAACGGATTCACCTATGATTCAAACACAGCTCGACCAGATAGCTATTGAAATTTCCTAGTCAGAAACAGCTGTAAGTTAACAGCTGTTCACTGATATTTGCTCAAAATGATTAATTCTCGTCATACGCTGCAGTTCAAGTTGTTCCATCGACAACCTAAATTCAAAATATGATAATACATCATTCTATTGCCTTACACGCATTTACATTTTTTGCAAATTGCTTGAATCGACGTACCAAATGAGAGTTCGATGCAGAAAAACTAAATTGGAAATAAAAATGTAAATAAATATAGCACTTACCACAGATGAACAATGTATGCACAAACAGTAGTTTATTCATCGACAACATGGCGTGAGAGTGTTTCTTCCTAACTATTGAGACTAGGTCGAACGGAGGTAATATAGGTAAAGATGACAGCATTATCTTCAAGCTAAACTCATAATTTACATTCTGACGAAACTAATTCTCCACCATTGTAGATACAAAACGCTATAAATTTTGCACGTGGTTCATAGTTAAATATGTATGAAAATGTGTTTGACAGGCAAACATAGATCATTTGAATGTTCTGTACCTTTAAACCGACCACGCCGATAAATCGAATTCCAAATAAGGTTTTAATTAGTTTATATAACAAACTATCCTAACCTAACCATCCTAAGGTTAAGTTAGGTTACAATTATTAGGTGTGGTCAATATAATACGTACCGAAGATTCAATTTTTTTTCTATATTGTGCTTGCTCTGAATATTGTTATAAATAATCATAAACTTTACTAATAAAATATTTTAACCATGGAGCCTCAATAAAAAAAAAACATTAGAAATCACCGTTTGTATTCTTGCTGATACATTTATAACGAATACGTGTGGATCAATTACAGTTTAAAAATCTATACCCCAGACAGCTTGAAAATTACGAGAAAAAATAGTTTTTAAATTGTTAAACAACTGTTGTAAAATGGACAAATTAGAAATTTTTTCAATATTAAAAAGTTATACAACAATTTTAATACAGACTCAATAGTTATTTGGGTAACTAGTGGGGAAGTGCTCTCGTGTTACACATTATATTTTTCCTACAGGTACTATAAATCATAGAAATAATCAGTCTTTCGAACACGGTACAACACGTTTTTAGGTTAGGTTAAATCCAAACATTTAATTAAATGAGAAATACTGCAACAGTTGATCGGAGTTGTTATATCTTTGTGTTGCCAACTTATTTTCAAGCGTATACGGATTGCGTGCATAATAAAAGCACGATGTTTTGTGTTGTTTGGTTGGAATACTGGTTTGCGACAAAGTAAAAACTGTGTGCGAAGCAAGGCTTTCTGTTTTGTATATATTGGTCAAGTATTTTAGTTGTGAAAGCCACCCAAACAGATAGACCTGCACCACCTAATTTTTATAATACGTTGGCTAGGTATAGATATACGAAAACCAACTTCTTTAACATTTAATGATTTGCATCTTTACTTAAAAGACTTGGGAATTCGCTGCTAGTACGGATAGCTATTGCCTATGTGGAATCCGAAATTATCAGCAACAGCTGGGTTCAGTTTTTAACAATCAAACAAACTGACTTTTCCTAGGATCGAACCGGTGACCTTTTGTTTGATTGCTAGGTGAGCATTATAGCCACTCAGCTAAAACTAAATATAAAATCATATCACATCATATTTTCTCTCTGATACACATATTAACTTTTTATTTTGGTAAAGTAAAATACAGATATTCCAAATTCCAATTTTTAATTATCCAACTAATTGGTTTTCAAACTAATTTTGAAATAATTGTGTCAAATTGAAAAAGTTTTGTCTTTGCAAAATGGTGTTTTACATTCTAACCATGGGGTCGGTCAAATCTTTTAGGCATATCTACAATATATATAGTAAAATAGCTTATTCCCTACATGGGAAATTCGCTAAAAAGAAAAAAAACAGCTTTAAGAAACACTCTGTTTTATGTGTAAATTTTAAATTATCTTGAAATACACCTGAAAAATATGTTATATGGGTAAAAAAATAAGAGTTTGTTTATTAGAGTTTTTTTTACAACTTATCAACTGATATTTAATTTTATGATAAGATAAACACAGTACAATGCATATTTAATAACTTTATTTCAGAACCTTCATTATGCTTTTTTATCCGTTGGTTAATTTCGGACAAATGATATCTTCAGGTTTCTCGGTGAAATACATGTGCATACCGATCCCTCCACATTTCCCTATAGTAGGAGTCAAACACTCTGGGGGGTCAGAGAACGTCATCTGTAAATCAGATAATGATTATCAGATCTGAGAAGTCACTAAAATATTCGTATTTAGGCCTACAATGTTTCTTGATGTATAAGTCCAACATATTGAAGAACTCATAACAATCTACGCCTCTAATTTGTCCCACAAGGATCGTAGATATTCAAGAAAATATCATCGAAGAGCATCTTTCTTCAAACCAAATCTAAAAGGGTATTTTTTTTTATCGAGAGTATTTATAACTTAGTTTTTCCAATTCGTCAACTAAAGAAAGTAAATTTTTCCACCGTCTACATAGGTTAAGAGTTCTTAAAAATAAGCTAAGGGTTATGGGATGCAAAACTATTGTGAAATGTTGTACTTAGTAAAACTAAAATTAAGCGTAACTAGCAAAGAATATATACTACTAGCAGTTGGGGAGAAAATATACAAGCAGTTTGTGTACTGTTCTAGTACGATTTTTTACATAATCGAACAAAATTACTTAATTGAATTTCACAGCTATCACAATTTATTTTAATTCACAAAAACTGAAAGATTTCCACACGAATAGACAAATGGACACTGATAAAAAAATTAAGGTTTATTCAAGGTTCAAGATTGTGTGAAAATATTCACGATCCCTGCAACGTAAAAACAGATTTTCTGTCTGTAATTGGGTATATAGTGCCTACTGCTTATTCAACAAAGTCCGAATACTTAAAATATCCTATATGAGCAATGTTTGCTTGTTTGTATGCTTGTATATTTGCTTGTATGCACAACAATCTGAAAAACAGCTTCAACCTTTTCCTTCAAATGTTTTAAATAATTTAATCATAGCCTAAAAACTTGTTTAATGCAGTTAAAACTGCCAACAAAAATACTATTACGTCAAAAAAAAAAAAAAAAAAAAAGAATTGAAAGTCAAAATTTTTTTACGTTGGCCATATGGGTTGAAATGTAACCACGTTGGTTGAACAAAATAACAAGGAAATACCCCCGCCACAGCAAACCTGCCGACTAAGCGAATTTCCATTTGTCTGAATTGATTTTCATTAAATATATTTAAATAACATAAGGTTTAACAAGTACCTAGGTTTGCTGCTACAAGGAAACTAATAAAGTGTGTTTTTTAGTCAAATATTAATAGCTTAGTGTAAAATAAATTAATCTGCCAAGTTTAATCCAAATATATCCACAAACAAGCAAACTACAACATTTTACAATATTCTCCATAAGAATAACATGGGAATTTTAAATTTACGATTTTTTAAATTTTCTCCGTTACCAATAACCGAACAAAAATACTTTGGTATACTAAATTATTTGTTTTTTTAAGCTCTTTAAAAAGGTCTAAAGAGAAATTGGGAAATTTTGTGTTTTGAGGGTCAAAAGTGAGAAAAATCAATTTTTACCCCATAAAACCCCCCGTAAAACCCCGTTCCCATAGTCCGAGCATGCTGGTTCCCGAACTCATTCAAGTTTATCCCGCTTTACACCTTTAAACCAAATTTCATCAACATCGGACAAAGATTACTCAAGTTATCGCGTTCACGGACACACTCACACACACACATATACAGGGTGATTGATATAAGTGTGCCAGCCGTTTTATTCTAAAACTATAAGAGATATCAAAAAAAGTTAAATGGTAAGTGCCTTGGATTTTTTATTTTAAAAATTTTAGTCAAGTCAAAAAAATTTTTAGCCGCCATTTTTCCAATATGGCCGCCAACTTGGATTTTTCTTACGGAACACCCTGTATTTTATGATGTATTCCGGTAGAAAATGTAATTTTAAGACGATTTTATTCTTGGGATTTTTGTCATAAACCTAACCGTTTCAAAGATAATAATGTTTAAAGTTTTAAAAATTAGGCATAAGAAAGAGTTTCGATAAAAGCCTAAGCAAGTATGCCAGCTGTTTTATTAAAAAACTATTCAAAATTTCATAACTTTAACCATTATTATCATTGAAACGGTTAGGTTTATGAAAAAAATCACAAGAATAAAATCGTCTTAAAATTACATTTTCTACCGGAATACATCATGAAATACAGGGTGTTCCATAAGAAAAATCAAAGTTGGCGGCCATATTGGAAAAATGGCGGCTAAAAGAATTTTTTCGACCTGACTACAATTTTTAAAATAAAAAATTCAAGGCACTTACCATTTAACTTTTTTTGATATCTCTTATGGTTTTCGAATAAAACGGCTGGCACACTTATATCAATCACCCTGTATACAGGGTGATCAACTCAAGGATGCCACCATTGGGATATCGAAAACGGTAAGAATTAGATAAAACTTAAAATAGGGGACATTCCTTTATTTTTTTGTGGCAGTTAAAAATATGATTTTATTTTTTTGAAATTCAGCCGCCATTTTCCAAAATGGCGGCCAACTTTGAAATTTCTTATGGAACACCCTATATTTTATCATGTTTTCGGATAGAACAGGCAATTTAAAAACTTTTTTATTCTTGAAATTTTTTCGATAAACACACTCGTTTAGGAGTTACAGCCTATGGAAAAATGACTTCCGGTGTACATTTTACATCATGTAGCTCCTATACAAGTAGGTTTATAGCGAAAATGCGATGAGTAAATAAGTCAAAGAAGTCTTAATATTGCATCCACATTCCATAAAGACCATAAAATACACAGTTTTCCACTTTTCAGGTTTTCCGCCATTTTGGAAAATGGCCGCCATTTTTAAAATAATAGAATTAATAGTTTTAACGAATTTTATGGTCTTTTTGGAATGTGGATGCAATTTTAAGACTTATTTGACTTATTTACTTTTCGAATTTTCGCTATAAACCTACTTGCTTAGGCCGGGGCCACACGTGGCGGATCGTCCGCGCGGCTTATGATCGTACGATCATAAGCCGCGCGACGATGTCCCGGCCACACGGAGCGGATGAACCGCTTCCGGTTGAGGTTTCTCAGCCTACGTACTGAGATTCTAACATGGTTTAATTCACTCGTTCTCGTTGTAGTCATGGAAGAAACAAGTATGTTAGTTTGTGCATTAGAAGCGTGTGGTGAGCTAGAGCCTAAGGCAAACCGATATCATTGGGTCCATCATTTCATAACCGATAAACCATTTGTGTACCAAACCTTTTACATCTTCTCCTTGAGAAAAGTCAGTAGCTTTTTGATGGTTCGAAACTGGGCCCAGCTGTTCCTGATCATTGGGCTTTAAATAAATGATCCTGACTAATGAAACCGCTGATCTTAGTCAGTAACAAAGCTACACAGGTCATCACACACCATTCTACACTCATCCTTCACTCATATTTGGGTTAAAATACGCACCTAGGTGGCGTCCCCATCTCAACGATTGATTATTGATTATTGATTACAAGCACATGCGAAACCATAGTTCGGAGTCTTTTTTTGTTACTATCGCATGTAGATAGGATCGTTTGACGAGCTACTTTAAATGCTTTGACCGCATATAACTAAGGAAGATATACTCATGAGAAATGTACAACATGAGAAATCCCACATTATCTTTAACAAGTTCTATTGATTTGTCTGTATCGAACATTTTACACCTATAAACCGAAATGCACAAGCACAAACTAAAAAAAAAACAACTACAAATGCTTGAAAATGAGCTCCAACCGCGCGGACAATCCGCATCGTGTGGCCACTCTCATAAGACTACGTGTGTCATCCCCTCCAACGCGGCTTATGATCGCGCGGACAATCCGCGACATGGCGCGGACAATCCGCCCAGGCGGCTTAGGATCGCCCCGTGTGGCCACTCTCATTTGATTCAATGTGTTGTCGGACCACGCGGATCATCCGCGTGGTCCGTCCGCGCGGATGATCCGCGTCGTGTGGCCGAGGCCTTAGGAGCTACATGATGTAAAATGTACACCGGAAGTCATTTTTCCATAGGCTGTAACTCCTAAACGAGTGGGTTTATCGAAAAAATGTCAAGAATAAAAAGTTTTTAAATTGCCTGTAAATATAGGATGTTCCATAAGAAATTTCAAAGTTGGCCGCCATTTTGGAAAATGGCGGCTGAATTTCAAAAAAATAAAATCATATTTTTAACTGCCACAAAAAATAAAGGAATGTCCCCCATTTAAAGTTTTCTCTAATTCTTACCGTTTTCGATATCCCAATGGTGGCCTCCTTGAGTTGATCACCCTGTATATATATATATATACATATATAAAAAATTGAACGAATGGTGTTTTTGGCCTCTGGGGACATCAAAATGAAAAAGTAAATCTTTTTTTTTTTTTTTTTTTAAAAAAGAGGTTGGCGGCCTCTTTTAACCTTGCATTTGCCCGTCCACATAGACTACAGATCTGTGCGTGGAACGTATCCAGCAAAGCAAGGGGTGAGCCGGTACAGTACAAAGGTGAACTGTACTGATAAAAGTTAGTGGCAGTGACCAGGATCCGAACCCACGACACTACTGCCTTGGGCCCGAAGTCCGCGACGCTACCAACTGAGCCACCGACTCACCAACAAGCAAATCTGTCCCGGGCCTAGGTCTTGCCATGCCACCTACGGTAATAGCTACTTCCCTATAGGGAAATTCGCTAAAAAAGTAATCAAAAGGCTAAGATGTGTTTATAACAAGCCTTCAACAGTATACTAGCTAATTACAACATATAGTACATAGGAAAATCCCCAGTTGTTACTATTGAGCAAAGATTACACTGAAGATTACTTGATGTAGTGGTACAATGGAAGTAAACTATACAGAGCCATGGCTCGGTCCCCAGGTACTTAGTACTAAAGTTGTATAATAAAGGCTTACTTTTGGGAAAAACGAGGGGATGTCTTCGTACCAATCCCGGGTTGTTTTAGATACAGATCCGAAGGCAACCATACCAATAGCGACCAGGTCTCCTTCGTGGTACATGGCGAAGAATGGTCTTGCGTCTGCGCAATTGGTATTCTTGTCGATGAAGAAGTAGTGCTGACCTATAGGAAAAGTGATGTGAACATTTTCCTGGGGTAAAAAGGTTACAAAGAAAGAAACTCTACCACGTAAGCAAAGGTTCTTTTAAAGTTATGAATAATTTCAAACAGACGGGATAATTTTGTGTAATGTGTCTTTTCAAATTATTGGATTATTAAGTTGAGCTATTACAGAACTAACTTTTTCAAGTACTTTGTTGCTAATGATACTGTAATATTTTAGGTTTGTTTAATGTGTTTATATTGACATCTAGGAGATTTTAAAATGTTAAACTAATATAAACGGAATGTTTAAAAATGTGTTTGTTGCTTATTACTTTAGTATAAGATAAAAGGCGATTCCCGGAAAGTACTTAACATTGTATACTATTTACGGAAAATGTGAATCTCTTTGGTAATTTACCCTATAAGAATTTATATTTTGACCCTTTAGGGTTTTATACAGTGATTCTAAAGCTAGGCCTATTTACTAATGTCTGCACTATCAAACAATTTAGTTACTGTACATAGCATTATGCATTTTTTATAAACATCCTTACCCATCTGCTTAAAGCAAGCTTGTTTTACAATCCCGGGAAACTTCAAGATGTCTTCCTCCTTTTTGGGAATCTCTGTCCATGTCTTTCCATCAAGTTTAACGTGTAAACTGTCACCTAACGGAGCTTTGCGAGTTGCAGGGCCTCCAGCCTCAAGAGACGCTGTCAGAAATACAAAACCAAATTCAGATTTAGTTCTAATCAGATTTAAAATTAACCACAGTTAATAAACCTATTTGTAATATATTTTTAGTGTGCTTAAAATGAATTTCAATATCAAAAAACAATTTCAAAAATCAATCACAGGTAAACGCACAGTACTAAAAAAAGCTTAAAATAAGAGAATCGCGATCAAAAATTACATTACTGTATGAATAAAAATATTGAATATTTATAAGGATGACATTTTCATTTCAAAGGCAATAATCCGTAAAGATGAAATTAAAAAGTTGATTTTAGTTAAACATTTCAGTTGTCTACAAAACTAATTTCTTTTTTCTGTCACAAAAATGCACAAAGTACCATGCACTAACAAAACCTAGTCCTGAGAAAGTCAGTTCCACGGTGATATTACAAATAAAAATAAGCTGTACCAAATTTGTTTGGGTTTTTCTTGTACTTGAAGTGTTATGTCGTTATTTGAGTAATTGATGTCTATAAATTTGCTTTTATACATGAAATACCATGAATAATCAGCACAGCATAGTTAAAACCTCATAAAATTAAAATTTATCCTTGTTCTCAACAATTAATATTACTCGTATACAACTGGTTCCTCTCAAAATTAGAATTTATAAATCATTTTCAAAATGTACAAAGTATTCTGTGTTGTAAAGCTGTTTGTTAATATGATGACTCAACATTAAACACATGAAAGAAGTTAACTTCTGCACATCTGCATGATTACAACATAATTACCTGGGGTAGAAAATATGAAATCCGTGTAGTAGTAGTCCATGTTTTGGAAAATTGTTCCTTTTATGAACGTCTCTATAGTTTCGTAGTGATAGTTTGAACCGATCTGACATTTTTGGCTCAATGTGTCGATAACGTACTAAAAAAATACAAAAACTATTTTAAAAACAGTTTTATAGATTGTTCCTTTGGAATAACGTATACAATGGAAATAATGATATCAATCTTTAAACTTTGATAATATCTTTAATCAATAATGCAGAATAATGCAGAATGTAATGCAATAATGCAGAATGTGGGAATTGTTGTTGGCAACAGCACTACTGTGACGTTTTAGAAATATAAATATTTAAATACCGCTTAAAGATTAAAATAATTTGTAATAAATCAATCAATTTATAAATTCTATATAATATGTCTGAAAAAGTTGTTCATTTGTCACATGATTGTCACTATAGCCAACAGTTGAGTTCAATCCAATATAGAAGATTACCTAAATTGTCTAAAATTTCGAAATTCCAGTCTGTCTGGCGGTTTTCTTAATATTAACTCAACAACTATTAAACTATTACAACTATTAAAAGTAGTATTCATTTTAATTTTTTTAACAAGAATTACACAACATATTAGCCTATCATTGAAGCTCAAAAGTATAAAACGGGCTGTAGTACAGAAAACGAATGTTGAAAAATTTACTAATACTAACTTTACTTTCAATAAAAATCTATATATTGTTCCATTTAAAATATGGATTAATGTCAGCTGGTAGGGGCCTACTTACCCCAATTCTGAACCCACATAGTTTACCCTTTGTATCGTACATTGGACATGCTCTTGGGTCCTTGTCTAGACAATAGACACCAATCTTACTAAAGTCCTCTTGGGTGGCTGCTTTCACGTAGCCTTTTTCTCTCGCTTGGTCCAGAGTCAGGGGTATTCCCCATTGTCCAACTTCCGGTGGAGCAAATCTGACTGGAATACAAATATAAATAATCTTTTTCAGCAATAACTGTATAAATATATTCACAGATCATCGCTTATCATCTTATTGGGTTTAAATATAGCTTTTGCTGTACAAAGCTTAGTAGATTTTGATCTAAAACCATCTCATACCTTTGCAATCTCAAGCCTAACCTCATCTCTATAACATTTAGGATACCCACAACATTGATGTTATCGTATTTTTCACCAAATGTAACATTAATTGTGTTAACTTATTTCGCTTACTAAACTTGGATAAACATTGATTGTATAAAGATGATTATGACACCAAAAATGTAGCTAACTATTAAAAATAAAAACCCCTAAAACTGATACATTGTTTAATGTAGTAAAAGCCATAATTTTAAACCTATTCCAAAAATATGCAATGTGAATTCACTACTATATTTAGGTTAAATAATTGGTTCAAATTATTTCGTGTGAATGTAAATAATTGTTGATGTATGCGTTTATAAAACTAGCATTATCCATATACTGTAAAGTCAGAAAGGAAAGGAAATTGTTGGCATACCACAATCTAATAAGATTTTAATGAAACAGCCTTTACTTTACCTAACCTTACCTTTAAACTTGTTTTTTGCAAGCCTTCAGATAGGTTATGTAATAAAATTATGAACCTCTGGAATACCTTACAATACGGTAAAATAATTAAATTAAAAAATATGAAATTGGTTATACATTCTTAAACATGATTGTAAAAAAGTTAAAATTAGTCGAACCTAAAAAAAGTATATAAGTTGAAAAAGTTTGTTAATTGTTAAAAATAATTGTCAATTTTACAAAAATGTTTGGTTTAAATCATTGAACCGAAAAAAACCGTTTAAACTATTGTTTGGAGCTTTAAATTTAGGATTCAAAACTTACCTTTGAAATTTGTCCAGGTGTTGTCTCCTGCGATTGCTGAAACCCAATATACAATGTAAGTAACAAATATGTTGAGTGCTTACATAATACTTAAAATAAAAATAATAGTTGGTAATGTATGCAACTAAAATAGTCGGCAAAACATTGAATGTTATAAAAACAAAATCTATTGATAATTTTATATATTTCTCAGTATTATGCAACTATAGTAATTACAATTAAAATAATCAACATAAACTGAATAATATTTTATCATTTACATTAGCTTTCCTATTTAAATGTAAATATTATAAATTACTTTGAATTTGTAGAAACAAACTGCAAACGATGAATATCGAGAACCCAGAATCGCCCATGATTCAAACACAGCTCTGCGAGATAGCTACTGAACATTCCTTGTCAGAAACAGCTGTGAGATAACAGCTGTTCGCAAATTGCTCGAAATTATTAATTGTCGTCATACTCTGCAGTTCAAATGTTCGATAAGTTTTCCTCTAACCTAAATTCAAAATATGAAAATATGTTTTAGGCTTTTTAAAAATCTTGTTTGAATTTAGTGAAAAGCTCGTGTACCGATAAACCAATATTACGTTGACTTGGAAATAAAAACATAAATAATATAGCTTTCAAGACAGATAAGCAATGTATGCATAGTACTTTATTAGGCAAATGTTATTTTTTGAAATGTCTGGAAATATCTAGGTAGGAAAAAATAATACCTTGAAATACCATGGCTTAGTTTCCACAAACAAAATTTCATCAAAGTTCACCCACACATGTAATATTTGAACGAATAGTGTTTTCGGCCTCTGGGAACATAAAAAAGTCCCAGCCTAGGCATGTCCGTGCCACCTTTAAGACAGTGTAGTTTATTCCCTTAATAGGAAATTCGCCGAAATAAAATTAAATTCATTTACATTAGAATGTGGTCAATATTTATAGACATATTTTAATATATTGGTTGTCTTATATTCTTTTAGAGACGAAAATTTTATATTAATCTTAAACCAAATTATATTAAAAAAATTACGAGAGAAATTCACGTCTAGCTCAGATTTCCTTGTACAATGGTTCCTGGAACACTACCAAGCCGACCGTCTGACACCTCATTGTTTACTGTAGTAATCAATGGAAGAATTAAATTCCACTGTACCTTAGGAATCTATTTTTTAGCTAATATTTAATTCCGAATTCGTATTAAAAATCTGTGGTATAGAAATAAAAAGGTATTTGTATTTCACTTCACAATGCTAATGTGGACACCTTTGCATGAGGAATATCAAACATATTTTATATCTTCTTATGAAGAAGATCTACAATAACATTTAATTACTGAAATAATCTGCCAAGGTAAATAGAAAAATAAGGTAAATAGCTCTTTACTCGGGTTATGGCGATATTATAACAGCGTATGACTGACCTTTTTATAATCATAAACACCTACTTACAACCGATTAATTAAAACTACCCAAATTGTTGCTCATATTGATCAAAATCTGAATCTAGCACTGTATTGCTGTGGCTTTTTCATATTGTAAATACTAGGAAACTAAGCATGTTTTAAGTTCATTGATGAAACTAGTTTTGTAAAACTTGGTGCAAACTGTGGACCGAAGATGATGTATCGTGATTTGAATACCTTATTTGGTGGTAGGACTATAACCTAAATATACATAGTCAAGGTACTAAATACAGGAATAGCTTAAAATGAAAGTATGCAACTTTTATTATATATTTTATCAGTTCTGGAGGCTACAAAATGAATAAACCCCTTTTTACTCCGAAGTTTCAAGATTCTTTTAGAACAATATTACCCAATTAAAAGTTATATCACTTACACACAACTTCGGCAATAACATTTACTGAACAGAAAGACTCCTTCAACAACTGGAATTCAGTATTTTCATGTTTGACATTACTATAAAATTTTCTCATCCCCCTTCTGTATATTTAGTATTACTGTAGCCCACTTACTAGCGGATGCGAACACATACAAATTTTGTTCTTCAAGATTTCAGTAATATTGAGTAAACTTTATCCAGTAATTTATCAACTCATCATAACTTTAGTCTCCGACGTTGGCTTTGACGTTGACGAGTTATCTTGAAGCACATTAGAGTCAAGTTGTAAACGAAACTCCTTCAGAGATGAGCGAGTTGACATCTTCACGTTGAACCTAAGTAGGAAACAAGTTCAGTATGTTGTCATACGATGTTGCAAACATAACTTAGTTGAAATATGGTTGAGGAGTTCACAGTTGGAACCTAGAAATGTTCAGACTAGAACTCTAATTTTTAATATTAATAGGTAGATAATATGGTATCAGAAATATTCAATATCTTCAATAACCCAGTATATGTAAATAGCAATAGATTGAAGAAGCAAGAAACAATATGTAGCACAAAACGCCAAAATTTATGTAATTTATTTAAAGACATTTGGTTTCGATTAATTATTTAAATTTGTAATTAGAAAGAATTATTAGTTATTTTAGGGTCACTAATGTTAACTACCGTTCTCACAGATTTAAAGAATGTTATTTTAAAATAGATTTGAACCAAAACAGTTTTCTACAAACGAAGCTCTGTCAAGAGGCAAAAATAGTAGCTTTCAATCACAAGAGTGATGTCTAGTGATGAAAGCTGTGTAAATGTGTGTTTACACTTACACAAAAACATCTGTTCAATCAAGACAGCTCTCTTATAAGTCATCACAGTTTTGGAATTGAGGTTAGTGACAATGTGGATAACAGCGATTGTTACAGTCTTAGGAGTTTTGGCTTTATCAGCTGATTCAGAAGCTCTGTTGAACTTAGCACAGCTTGGAAAAGGTTGGTTTCTAGCAAGTAATATCATAAATACGACTATAGCATACATCTTAGTTACCAATCAGGTTGCACAAGATAGATTGTTTAAAGCCGTTAAAGCCTATAAATTTAAAATGTAATTACTTCTATTGCTACCTGACCGCAATCTCTTGCACAATGTACAATAATAAAATATTAGGTAAATTTAACATGTTTAAAGTTCTCAACTACAAATTTCACATAGTTGTACAGTATTAGGTAGTTGAATGTTAATAAACAACCTTATTTTAAGACACGCTTTAAAATGTAATTATTTGGAACATATTTTGTTCACAGGGCAGTTAAATATTTTATATATTTCTTATACCTTTAACCACGATTGATTTGTTTTTTTTTTAGGTGGTGGAGTAAAATGGACCGATTTGAAACGTACGTATGCTAGTTGTATGCATAAGTTGAAGCGATTTGTTTCCTAATGTACTGTAGTGTATATTCGTTAATGAACGCAAAAATAAACTGACATAATATAATAAAAATAACTGATAAACTGATTTATGTTGAATCCGAAGACTTTCAATCCTGACCAACTCAAAGGATAACTAATTGTAGGGTATGGTATCTTTGGCGTTTCATAACCTATGAATGTAACAACAATGAGGGGAAAACTTTCAGCTTCTTCACGCTGAGAGTGGCTAAATTATAATTCAATGAAAATGAGGTTAAAACTGATCCATTTAGATGCAATAGCTCCTTTAATGTCTTAATAAATGATTACGTAGTTCGATAGTTTCAAGTAAGCATCTTTTACAAGGGTGAGACATACTTCTTTCATTTCCCCTTGGAAATACAATATTTTAACGATGTATGAAGTGCCTAATTGTGTTCACTGACACCTTATTTTCCACATGTGTTAATCAGCTGACAATTGCAGTGAAGTACGAGTTCCCCGTCAGTGGTAAGTTCAACATCCCGCTGTCCACGGGACAGATCACCAATGACTACAGGTTCCTGAAGGCTCATGAGGACTTTGACAAGGTATCACTGTATATTGCTGGAGATGACCCAAGAGTTCAGCTGATGTACGATGATTATGAAAACATCTGCGGACTAAGAGTAGCGGTGAGAAAACAACACTGAAAACAGTACCATGGTTATCTTAGCTATCAAAGTATCCTATGAACGAAAGTTCCATAATGCCATAGTAACTGTAGTGCGATAGTAACCATAGTGATCAAAGTAACAGTAGTGATCAAAGTAACCATGGTCATCAAAGTAACCATAGTTATCATAGTAACTATAGGGATCATAGTAACCATAGTACCATAGTGATCATAGTGACCATAGTACCATAGTCTCCATAGCACCATAGTGACCATAGCACCGTAGTAAAGATAGTAAAACCATAGTAACCATAGCACTATAGTAACCACAGCATCATAGTTCCATAGTGACTATTGTAAAAATAGTACGATAGTAACCATAATTCCATATTTATCATATTAATTATGGTGACATTGAACTATAGTGACCGTAGTAATGATAGTACGTATGTAACCATGGTAACCAATTTACTATAAAACCATAGTAGCCAAAGCACTGCAGCGACAACAGTATCATAGTAAACGTTTGACCTTTTATTTAAAAATTACTATGAATAAGAAATCTCAAGATTAATGCAAGTATTTAGTGGGCAAAACTAAATAGATTTATTTTAAATTTGACGTAAGCAGCTATCTAGGTAATTAGTTTGAAGATTTTAATCCACCATTTCAAAACGTAATAACTAGAAACTTGAAATTCAATACGTGAATAATCCGTGTTTAAAGTGTTTGGTAATCTAGTAATCAAGTCATGCTAAGTTTCTAAGTTATTTCCGAAATAGACCTTTAAAAAGTTTTGAAATAGTGAGAAAAATTGATATTGCATAGCTACTGTTCTAACATTCATAAACTAAAATCATAAATTAACTTTAACAGAATTTTTTAACATACGCATTTATGCGACTTAATACGACATTTTCATAAACCGTTTAAAGAACGAACCATTAGGAAAAAGCACGCATAGTGGCTTGACTTATACAAAAAATAAATCTAAACTGCTTATCCTGTTTCCAAATGTGAATTTCAAAAAGGTAGCTGTATTATGCCAAAAAGTGAACAAGATACTTCAATATTATTTATAAAAACACGTTAAACAATTATCATATATTAAACAACTGTTAACATTTTCAGTACATCAATGACGAGATTGCCAAAAAAACTCCCAAAGGGGAAACATTCCCTTACTCTTACGAGGACAAGCCTATTTTCAAGAAGGGAAACGAGTTGGGCAAAGAATTATATTACATCGATGTATTGTTTATTCACCCAGGTATGAAAAGTATAGTTTATAGCTTGATTTATGAAGTATGCTTGATTGTTGAAGTTTATAGGTATGTCTTGAGTTTAGTTCTTTGGTTGTTCTTCCAAAACAAGAGCAAAAAAAAAACCTATTGATCACACAATAATTCGTTGTAGGGGAAAACTGATACTATAAAGATATCTGTGTAAATTGTATATTAGACTGGCAGAGGTTAGCAAGAATTTTATTTGGTTTTGGTTATAGTGCTTCCGGACCAGTTATTTGACAGATTAGTCTATGTAAGAGGTCGCCAACCTAAAAAAAATGCAATTCGTGGACTCTATTCTATAGAGATACATAAAACTCTATATAGACTTTAAAACCCATCTTCAAAGTATCGCGTCTTATTTAAATGTATTTATAAAATCAAGAAAGAAACGTTATGTCTGCGAATATACCTAAATTTGTAACCTCAATTGTTCTTTTAATTACAGACATCCTCAAAACCGGAGGACCTGCTACTCGCACAGAACCCGTTGGAACCGGAGTGTACATCCAAATGGACGGGAAAACCTGGACTGAAATGCCCAGAAACGAAGAGGGAATGAAGGACACAAAGTTTACAAAACAAGCTTGCTTCCCAGGAATGGGTGAGATAAATTTATACCTAAGTGACGAATAAGCGAAATTAAATACATTGATACCTATAACCATAGATAAAACATACTCCCTTAGTAGATTTCTCATCCTTATGGAACAGCTGAAGACAATTTTATTGTTAGTTCTGTACGGTTTATGTAGATGTCGTGTTTTGTTTACAATTTGTTTCCCGTTATTGCAGCCATTTAAAACCTCGTTTAACCAAATAATACGATCTTACCATAAACAATAACTTGTCCCCTAGTTATATAACCAAACAGTAAAGCACAAATCATGAAATTAACCCTAAAATAATGGAAACAAAGTTTCGTCGACACTAGCGCCTTTGTGTCACGTACATGAACTAGACACGAAAAACGTGCTTCAAAATTTACAATGGGATGAGAAGTCTACTTGTGTTGGTTAGTCAATGCTATAACCTATCGAACTTGATGGCTTAGTGGTAACCAACACAAAAGAGTATTTGGACTCCTCCGTGATTGTATCATCTTGGATTGACAACAGATATTGCTTTTTTGGGACATGTCAAAGAAATTACCAATTTGACCATAGTCCCCATATAGCCTATCAAACTTAGTAGTAGTCTTTTGTATTAACCAACACAAAAGATTATTGGACTCCTTTGCTATGATTATAGCATCTTGGATTGACAACAGATATTGTTTTTTTGGGACATGTCAAAGAAATGACCAATTTGACCATAGTCCCCTTATAACCTATCAAACTTGGTAGTAACCAACACGAAATATTATTTGGACTCCTTTGCTATGATTGTAGCATCTTGGATTGACAACAGATATTGCTTTTTTGGAACATGTCAAAGAAATGACCAATTTGACCATAGTCCCCTTATAACCTATCAAACTTAGTAGTAACCAACACAAAATATTATTTGGACTCCTTTGCTATGATTGTAGCATCTTGGATTGACAGAATAGATATTGCTTTTTTGGGAGATGTCAAAGACATGACCATGGTCCCCATATGAGCAATATCATATTATAAAATTATACTGTATTGAGATACTCATAGACGCTTACATAGAGGATGGAACGTGTAGAAAAAGCTCAAATAAAGAAAGTTGAAAACAAACGCAGTCTCTTGGCAGCTTTGTATTTCTTTAAGGAGTAAAAAATAGATGAGTATTTCAATGCTCATTATTTGAAAAGCCATAGGATAATTTGAAGATTCCTGAATCCTATTTTTTCATTATGGTTTCTTTTTATTCAACGCTTAGTTTTTCTACGAAGATCTGCTCTCTTGGGTCAAAGTTCAATATAAAATTGTGTTTGAAGCCTAATGGACAAAAATACATAAAATACGCCTTTTACTTTGGAACTTCTTAGTTTACTGGGAAGGGGTGGACTCTAGGTCCAAATCCGACCTTCACCCTTAATGTCACTAAGTTTTTCCACTCGTGCTTCCCCAGGTCGCCACTACTTCTACAACATGTCGCCTGAGATGAAGTGTGAAAACCACCATCCCGTGTTTCTTCTCTACAACAAATATGAGCTCGTCGGATTGGGGTTGATCCCATTCGGCACATTTGACGCTGAATTCGGAAAACCCTGGTTTGAAAGCCCGCCAAGAGAAGCGATCGATGTGAGTACCTCTGTAATTTTGGGATTAGTACCTCTGTAATTTTGGGATAAGTACCTCTGTAATTTGGGAAATTGCTCACTTAGGCATCCAAATATTCTTCCACAAAAAATGAAATCATGTTTTGGTGATGATGATTGTATTTTTTTTTAAAGAGATCACTGTCGGAATTTTCCATCGTGATTGTAAAAACACAAAGTTCCTATGGTGTTACAACAATGCTATCGTTTGAGAATGTTGTGCAGACGTGTCTATTGTCTTCTTTTTACCTGGTTTACTATGCATTGTTTTATGTCAAGGTTGTTTGTTTGACTACTATTATTGACTATTGGATATACAGTTTTCTGTGAGATTTTCTAGCTTTGTCTCTGTTTGTGTAATATCTTGCTACGTTTTACCTCCCATCCCATTGTAAATGTTGAAGCTCGTTTTTCGTGTCTAGTTCATGTCCGGTGACACAGGTGGCTAGTGTCAACAAAATCATGTTTCTATAATTTTAGAGTTGATTTTATGATTTGTGTTTACTATTTGGTTATATAACTATAGGTATATTTAGTGTTTATGATTATATCGTTTTATTTGGTTAAACGGGGTTTTAAACTACTGTAATTACAAGAAACAAATTATTGTAAAATAAACACGACCTCTACAGTGCACCGGACAGAACTAACGATAATATTGGCTTCAGCTGTTCCATAAGAATGGGAAATCTACTAGGGGAGTATGTTAATCTATCGTTTTAGGTACCGTAGGCTACATTCTAAACTCGTACTGGATCAGATTATAGATTCTGAAACGGCTTCACAACTTTTTGTAACAGTCATAATTTCCGCTACAATCTCCTACATAACATCGACGAATTTAATGCAAATTCATATAAACAGAATTAAATTTGTACGAGAATATTTTTTTAAGTAAGGGCCGTTTGTGGTGCGTGTCAGTGAGTGTTGGTTCTTAGTTCCCGTATACGCCGCAACGAGGCACCTAGCCACTTACATGCATAATTTGTGAACAGAACGGCTACATTTGCAGCACTATAGCATTTCACTTTTCTGTGTGTCTAGAACATTTGGAAAATGAATGAATCTCCCACCGCATACATGATAAGGTCAGTGGCAAATTTTTGACTGCGAGAAACAGATTTGCTGCAGAGGTTCATCGCAAAGAACTGAAGTTTATAGCCATAATGCAATGATAGAGAGTAAAGTGTTCCACACTTAGAGTACTATTTCGTATAGATGTTTTAGATGTCTGTATAATTTACAGTTTTTGAGTGTGCTAATTTGAAACATTGAGGTTTTTTTTGTCCTAGGACGCTAGACACGAGCCCGGAATTGTTTTTCACATTCCTTCAGGCTAGACCTAGTGGTTGCGGCATTATCACATGGATAACATCCATTGGTGATTTGGTGGGATTTGAACCCGTGGCCTCTGGAACCGAGGTCCCGCACGCTAACCACTAGACCAGCTCGCTCCCCTGAAACAATGAGGTTAAGGCTGACATATGTAAAACTTAAAATAAGCCCGGTAGAAAAGTCTTAGGACAAGTATGTAAGTGATTTTAAGTAGGTATGTAAGTAATTTTCAATTTTGAATAATCAATGTTTTTTCTGTTACAGTTTATTGTACCATCTGGACCTACTTGCCTCAAAGATTGGGTCGGGAAGTATGGAACCATCTCGCTCCACATATACTTCCGCCAATTCAGCGAACTCAATTGTGTTGTGTGATTGAAAAATGTTCTAAAAAATATAACCAGCCTATATTTCTACATATACAACTTTTTGTTTCCTTTAACATTGTATTATACGACATTCTGGAGCATTACTATTGTAAGAGAAATCGATAAACTATATTTTATCATTGGGTTTTAAAGTTCACTTATATTTACTAAAAATGTTATCTATACGAATGTGTAGGTATGCATCGTATGACTGGTGCAATAACAATGTAATTTAATACATAAAATAGGATACGTGTTTTTAAGTATAAAATAGAATTGACGTTTTAAGTATAAATTATGTTCAGTTTATTGACAGCTCCAACAGTCTTATCACCCATAAAAGTTAATAATAAAACATTAAAAATAAATCCAAATTTATAAATACTAAATTTTAAAATAATTTCTGTCAATTTAGATGGAAATGTTAAATTGTCAAGTTAGGCATAAGGACAAGAAAACGAAGGAGAAAAGATAGGGGAAATATAAGTTCCCCGTTTCCCCCTGTTTGACTGGCTGCTGTGGAAATTTCATAATTGATTCTGAGATTATAATCATAAATGTCGTGGCAATTTCAGTATTGATTCTGAGATTATAATCGTAAAACGTCGTGGCAATTTTGGCACACCCTTACAAAAAAACATGTTGAAGTTAAACCTATCTCCTGAACCAGATGACATTTGTATTGGACTATCAAATAAGGATTCTAGTTTACTGAAACTGGGGCAAATGAAGATATACATATAACCCGGGTTTGAGCAGTCTGTTACAAACATCGATATATATCGATGGTTACAAAGAATAAATCCGTTATAGATCAGTAGTTGTAAAGTTCAGTGATGTTCAGTGATATGTGTCAGCTGTAGTGTTTAGGTAATCAGCTGTTGGTGACCCAAAACAGCTGTTTATATTGGAGGGAGAAACACATTAATAGCTTCAATGTTATACTCACTCTACAACATGACGAGCTATTTCACACGTTTTCTCATCACGCTTGGGCTTATCAACAGTAAGTTTAATCTAAGATAATAATATCTGACATCTTTGACCGGAGAGAGCGTAGAGCTATTTGAAATAGGATTTTTTGCAAACTTTTTATTCGCACACCTAGTAATACATTTTAATACTTGTTCTAATTCCTATCAGAGGCGTACAGTAGGCTATATGGTCGTTTAAGCTTGAGTTTGTTTAGTTCCTACTAAACAATATCAATTTTAACGGCCATACTGGTATGCTTGCCCTACAAGTGCTCCAGCGAATGAGTTTTAAGCTTGAGTTTTTCACTTGTATCTAACATGGGAAAATGCTATTAAAATACAATATAAGGAATAGTTTTAACGTCTTATTTGTATTCTCTTGTATTTCCTTAAACAACAAGGGAATTTGTAGGATTCCCATTGACGAAACTGTTCGACTGACTGTATTGGGGTCGTTTGATATTTTGTTTCACTAGGACGGGTGGTGTGGTCCTGTAATCCAGCTACTAGGAGGTGAATTGGATATAAGTGGAATATATTTTTGGAGTATTTAAAAGCTTCCTATAAATTAACTAACTAGTTTTGATACGTAAATACGGTGTTTTAGTCCTATTTCTGGATAAGAGATATTATTTAAGAAAAAAATTAATAAAATTCGTTCGTTCATACATTTTCCGTATACTTTTAATATGATATACAGTAGATCTATAGAATAGATACTATAGAACAGTGTGGATTTAAACTGCAAAATATCCCTGGCCTCCTGTCACTGGAACCCTTTTTCCCACTATTGAAATGTAAAGAACACCAAACCACTTTTCAGGTAGCAGATATCCCTAGGGAAGAGAAAATCATAGCTGGACTAGTAGTCAATCCGTATCCAACGTGGACAAAATTGGCGCCCAAGGAATTTTGTCTGAAATTTATGTTTTTTGGGGCGCTGAATCCGAATCTGAAGTTGTCCAACAAATATTTCTTGAGCGTTCCGAGATATTCGCAAAAAATAGCAAAATTTTAGCACTTTTTTCAGTTTTTATATTATAAGTCAAAAACTATGAATTATAGCGAATTTTACCCCGTTACAAAATGGAAGGTGACAAAATTTCCTTCAAAATGCACTATTCACACTTGAAAATCGATTAGAAATAACCTCCGCTAGAGTGCATTGAAAATTGGTTATTTTTCTGAATTTAAAAAAATTCAAGCTTTTGCTCTGGTTTTAATAATTATCAGTAAACACCCACACCCTTCCACCCTATAACTATCTCAACCCGAATTCCCCCAATCAAAACACACCCCCCGCCCTCCACCCAATGTACTATATTATTCTTCCCCCTCATTCCACAGCGTTCTTTCTTCTTTTCTTGTGCGGAATTAATAATCTTAGAGAGGTAGGTTTCCATGGTTATCATTAACATGACAAGGCAGTTGTTATCATTAACCCAATGACACTACACCAAAGAATGTCTATTATACAGCAGTCTGAAAACGAGCTAAAGGAATCCTTGATATTCAAGCTAAGTCCGTATCCTTCGTCAATATTTCAAGAAGGATCCACGAGGAAAGGAAAGAAATCGAGCCTCTACAAATCTTTCTATTATATGCCCGATTCTGAAATACCAAAAGACACCCAAAATGTTATATATGGAGGGTTTATACTGCACAAGGTGGTTTGGGAGAATAACTGGACCTTTGTTGAGGTTGGTGCTCTTTCATAAGATAAATAAAACGGCACTACTCCAACCCCGTGGTATCTTTTGACGGGTACCCCGATTATAAACAAGCTAAACGTTTGAGAAGGTCCATCAAAAACACTCTGTGGAAGTGCTGTTTAAAAAAGGAATTAAACCAGATGTTTCTCAAAGACATTTCTTGGGGAATGATCGAAATAAGAATCGTTTCATATATCTACTTATCACAACACATGTACGTGTACATCAATACAGCCATCGATCTGTCTGCTCAAAGCAGTTCAGTCACTGATGTTGTCGGAGAAGGTATCGACCTTCTGATGCTACTAGTGGGCTCAGCATCTAATCTAGTGGGGAAGGCTAAGGGTTTGAAGGTGCTGGACAAACACCCCCATCTGTCTTCCCAGCTAGCTCTTTTTAGGACACCTTCCCATGACTTCACCTTTAAACAGGACTCAGCCAGGAGAGTCATTCTTATTAGCCTTATACGGGGAAACCGTCAGACACCTGGACGACCTAAGGTACAAGGTATACAAGACAGTAATTTTAAATAACTTTGTATAAATGAAATCCGGTTACTTTCTCAAACCACCTTGTGCAGTATAAACCCTCTATATATAACATTTTGGGTGTCTTGGTATTTTAGAATCGGGCATATAATAGAAAGATTTGTAGAGGCTCGATTTCTTTCCTTTCCTCGTGGATCCTTCTTGAAATATTGACGAAGGATACGGACTTAGCTTGAATTTCAAGGATTCCTTTAGCTCGTTTTCAGACTGATGTATTATAGGCATTCTTTGGTGTAGTGTCATTGGGTTAATGATAACAACTGCCTTGTCATGTTAATGATAACCATGGAAACCTACCTCTCTAACATTATTAATTCCGCCCAAGAAAAGTAGAAAGAACGCTGTGGAATGAGGGGGGAAGAATGGTACATTAGGTGGAGGGGGGTGTGTTTTGATGGGGGGAATTCGGGTTGAGATAGTTATAGGGTGGAAGGGTGTGGGTGTTTGCTGATAATAATTAAAACCAGAGCAAAAGCTTGAATTTTTTTAAATTCAGAAAAGTAACCAATTTTCAATGCACTCTAGCGGAGGTTATTTCTAATCGATTTTCAAGTGTGAATAGTGCATTTTGAAGGAAATTTTGTCACCTTCCATTCTGTAACAGGGTAAAATTCGCTAGAATTCATAGTTTTCGACTTATAATATAAAAACTGAAAAAAGTGCTAAAATGTTGCTATTTTTTGCGAATATCTCGGAACGCTCAAGAAATATTTGTTGGACAACTTCAGATTCGGATTCAGCACCCCAAAAAACATAAATTTCAGACAAAATTCCTTGGACGCCAATTTTGTCCACGTATGGTTGATTTTTACAACGGATTGACTGGACTATAGGCAGCTATCTTGCAGTTTGAAGAGTAATCTAATGTCTTAAACACTTTTCTTACAACATTTTGACTATGGAATATAGTGCATTTTGAAATATTTTGTAACATGCAATATTGGTATTAGAAAAAAAGTCCTTTAAAACCAACTGAACAAACAACCGTAATCATTTATGCTGCCGATGAAGTTACACAATCAGCTGCAAAGTGTTACGATTTACTCTGACTCATATTATTGACGTAAACTGTGGAAATTAAAATTGCTATTACATTTGGAAGATCTGTTTTTGGACGTCATTCGATGAAAGACTTTAGACTGTCTAATTGTATTGGTTCACACGTTTAATTACATTCATATAGCTTAAATAAAGGAACAATCAGCCACTTTATGGCCTGTATATTACTATTGCTTTCAAATTGCTGGCTTTTACACAGCAATTTTGATTGATGAATTATTGGCTGGTATAAAACCTTTCTCAACATGAATTAATATTTCCATAAACCAACAAAAAAATACTTTACTTTATTAAGGATACATAACAAAATTAATTGTTTTTCTCTAATTAGCTGTTTACTGGATGGTTTCAGCTCTAATAAGTCTGATTGATCGTTTAGAACTTTTTTAAAACCTTTTTACTAATATAATTCATATATTTTTTAGGTAGTAATGACATTTATTTCTAAAAAAAGCGGACTTATCTTGAAACCGAAGTTTCATTGTGTGAGTTATGGAAGACAAATTATTGCTAAACTAGTTCGAATAGCTGTATGATTCTTTGTATTTCTAACAATTAATTGTTAGTCATAAAGTCGACTAGCAATAATAATGTGGGTTTTTTAGTATCTAAGTTAAATAGGACATTGAAATAAATCAATGCCTTGAATGATGCATTCAATTATACACTATGGGGGTTCTCTAAGATTGATTTAAGACCTCATTTTAAAATCAGTAATTTATAAGGTGAAGTTAAATGGATCTGCACTGTACAAAAAAATATTCCTTTGAGTT